CATTTTTCTTTGGCTAATTTGATCCCTTTTTTATTCTTCTCTGCAGGTGTCTATATTCTGTTACATTAGATTTTATCAGTCGACGTTGTTCCATTAATTTCAAGATGTCGTCTGTCATCTATTTATTTTTCTTGATTAAGTTTTTTCTATAATCATTGTTTGTGGAGATTTCGTTAACTTGGTTTTTAAATTCACTCCATAGTTCTTCTGGATCTTCTAGTTGTTCCCCTGTTTTTTTATTCTTTTGTTAAATTATTTTTTAATCTTATGTTTTATGTTTATATCGTCAAAGTTAAGTACATTGGTTTTTGGGTTTTGTCGCTGAATTCGCTTTCTTTAACCTTAGTTTAATATCTGCTACGAGTGGTTGATGATCAGATCCAATATCTGCCCCACGATACGTAGTGACTTTTTTGACAGCATTTCGGAAACGCTTATTTACAAGTATAAATATAGTCTATTTGATTTCTTGAAGACTCAGACTTATTGCCATCATCAAATGGGACTTTCCAAGTGTATAGTCGTCGCTTGGGTAGTTTATACCAGGTGTTTGCAATGATCATATCGTTTTCTTTACAGAATTCATACAATCTCTGTCCTCGATCGTTAGGTTGTCCTAAACCATAAGGACCTACAGTCTGACCTCGTCGACCTTCCCAATTTTTGCATTGAAGTCGCCTATAATATATAAAATTTCGTGTTTATTAAGTTTCTGTAAGATGTCTTGGATCTGATCACACAACTTCTCGACTTCATCGTCATATTTTCTATCTGCAGTCGGGGCATAGATTTGAAGTATGTTAGTTTTAAATGGTTGAGTATTTATTTGGAGTAATATTATTCTATCCGAGACTGGTACGAAATTGGTCACATATTTACTCAGTTCTGATGTTACTAATATACCTACACCATTTTTGTGATGCGGATCTTCTGTGCTGTTACCGGAATAATATAATACACTTCCGTCCTTTTTAAATGATCCTGACTCTGGCCCTCTCATTTCGTTAATTCCCAGTAGGTCTATTTTCATTCGTTTGTTTCTTGAATTGAGTTGTCAAGTTTCACAGCCGCAAACAGACTTAACATTCCATATGCACATTCTAAAATTAGATTTCTTTATTTTTGGGACTTCTTCACGAGGTTTTCACATGTTTACGACCTAAGAGGCCTAGTGGTATAAACATGTTTCTCCTCTCCTGCCGAATCTTGGCCTCCGCTTTTCATGATTAGTAACGGTTTGAAATTGCAGTGTCAATTCTATGGTGATTTTCCTGGGAGTGCTCTATGAGCCGTTAATGCAGTGGTTCCCCTTTGCCTTCTGCATTCTTATGCCATTGACCATTATTTGTTGACTCATTCGCCTTCGAGGCCGATTTCTCAACCCCAGGACAAAAGAATGCCCTACCACTCACCAACTCATCCGCCCTAAGCCGATGGTAGTAAGTGGGGGATTGCTTATACCGGCAATCACTCGGACGTCAAGAGCCTCATTTGTTATCTAGCAGGATGCACCGGATGACCATAATCAAGATCATCACGCGGGCAGGCGAGGTTGACATTTGGATAGGAGAGGCTATACGTTGCGTATCACTATCCCTTGCATCCCATTGCAAACAATGGATACAACGAACAAATAATTAATAAAATTTTAAATAAAAAACTACATAAGAAAGCCCTGAAATTAGTATTTCCACCACCAGAGAAAATACCCAGTACGTTCTGCTCGATTACATATATACGCAAAATATCAACAAAAATAGTCAAACACATAAAAAAGAAAGGAATAACACCAGTTTCCAGAACAAACAACAACTTATATATTAAATAATATATATTATATTAAAAAAACAAGAGCCAAAATAAAAAGCAATTACACAGTGGTGTATACAAACTTAAATGTGGCGACTACCCAAAAACTTACATTGGTCAAACTGGTAGAAATTTAAATAAACGAATAGCAGAATATAAAAGAGCTTTTAATAATAGAAAAACAGATTCTACATACGTACTTCACCTTCTAGATCATAATCATTCTTTTAATGATGAATTTCAAATTCTTCACATTCAAAATAAAAGCCTTAAGATATCTTTGTTAGAATCTATGGAAATTAACAAACTAAAAAACACAGACTTATTTCTGAATGACCAACTTGAGAAAAACAGTTGTCCCCTCCTCAACCTATTTCGTTAAAGACTATAAAGTGTAAACGCATACCAAAAATAGATCACTTGAGAATGGCACTCTGCCAAAACAGCTGTAGTGATAAGATTTTATAAAAAAATTTGTGGAAGTTTTCAGCGTTTTATTGTTACATAAAATGAATTTCGATCAAGTAACGGTCGAATCCATCAATTATTAAATTAAAGTTGTAATGTAAAATTTTTCGCTACTCCTGTTACAATATGTATTTAAAAAATAGAAAACTTGGTTAATAAATCGTATTTTAGGTTTGAACCAAGCTATTTTTGTTACAGCTGTACCAGAATATTCAAATAATATATAAAGGAGACCACTTCAAATGGATATGTTTTAACAGTGAAATACTGAAATGGTAAACTATTCTTTAACAACCATAAAAATAAAGTTGATGCAATTATCACTGCAAATACACTCGTTGAAATACGTTAAGAAAATTAAATCTCAGAAATCTACAAAGTTTGTCCATTATCTCCACAATCAGAATCTTCGTATACACATACATTTTGCTAATTACTACAAAGGAACTTTCATGACTTCAATAATGGACAGTGGAAGTCCATTAACGGACCCATTTACCTAAAACGTCCTTTTATCCTTTAACATGATTCTTGACCAAAAAGGTAGTTCACACGCACTTTTAATTAATATCATTTTACGAATATACCTTTTAATAACAATCGTTAATGTGTTATGCTAGTCATATTAAGTAATTGGTTTGATAAAGACATGATGAGATAATGTGATTATAATTACAAATAATTAAATTAAATAAAAAACTTAAAATTAAAAGCTAAAACATAAAATAAAAGGTTGTATATGCAGTGACCAAAATATACTGTTATACAGCATGTTATTAAAGAGTTAGGTAATAAACTGTCTCTGTCTCGAGCTATTGTAAAGAGTTGCTCAGCTTTCTTTACTCCTGTCCACTCTCTGATATTCTTCAACCAAGACTCCTGCTTTCTACCAATTCCTCTGCGTCCTTCGATTTTACCCATCATAATAAGTTGAAGAATATTATATCGGTCTCCCCTTACTACGTGTCCAAAATAGGCCCTCTTTCTACATTTGATGTTATCAAGCAGCTCGCGAGCAGCATTTGCTCTCTCAAGGACTGCTACATGTGTCAGCATAGTCGTCCATGTAATTTTTAGTATACGTCTGTGCAGCCATATTTCAAAGGCCTCCAGACGATTAATGGTGGATATTTTTAATGTCCATGCTTCGACACCGTATAAGAGGACTGACCAAATGTAGCATTTAACCATACGTTTTCGAAGTTGAAGTTTCAAGTTATCATTACAGAAGAATGAACTTATTTTTAAAAATGTCGTGCGGGCTATCTCGATTCTACATTTTATCTCTTGATCTGGATCTAGTTGTTCAGTAATATGGCAACCAAGATATTTAAAACTGGACACTCTTTGAATTATATGACCATCAACATATAATCGTGCATCTTGATGTGCTAAACGGCTAAACACCATGTGTTTTGTTTTTGAACAGTTTATGTTTAGGCCAAACTCTCTTACCACTGTATTAATGGAATTCAAAAGGCATTGTAATCCATTCATGTCATCACTTAAAATAACTGTATCGTCTGCATATCTGATTGTATTTATCAGAATTCCATTAACTTTCACGCCCCATTCCAAATTATGCAGCGCTTCTTTAAATATTCTATCTGAATATAAATTAAATAACAGTGGGGATAGTATACAACCCTGTCTGACACCTCTTTGTATTTTACATATTTCTGTTGATTTTCCGTTTATGCAAGCTGTCGATGTTTGACGCCAGTATAACTTTTCTATGAATCGTATGTCTTGACTATCAACTCCTTTATCTTTTAATATTGTAATTAATTTGTTATGCTGTACTCGATCAAAGGCCTTTTCATAGTCAATAAATACAGCAAAGACGTCTTTCCTTTGATATCGACATTTCTGCAGTAATACATTTAATGCAAAGAGGGCGTCCCGAGTTCCCAGTCCATTTCTGAAGCCAAATTGTGTTTCATCCTGATCTTCTTCACATTTATCTCTGATTCTACTGTGGATGATGCGTAAAAATATTTTCAAAGTGTGGCTCATAAGGCTTATCATTCTATAATCGCTACAGTTTTTTGGACGTTGTTTTTTGGTAGTGTTATGTGTTCGGACTTTAAGAAATCTTTAGGGCAGTCGATCATTGAAAACTTTGACCAGTATTCCAATGTTCTCCTCATTTATAAGCTTTAACATCTCTGTCGGTATGTTATCAGGGCCAACGGCTTTCTTGTTCTTTGCTAACTTTATAGCATGAAGTATTTCTGATTTTAGTATTTCTGGTCCTTCACCTTCAACTAAAGTCTCCGGTTCTTCGGGTCTATCATCATCATTATATATAAATAACTAAAAAGCACCTAATAAAAAACTAGAAACAAATTACCAAAAAAAAAGAGACTATATATTAGAGATTAATACTAGTAATATATTTAGAACAAGATTGTATACAAAACAATGACTAATGAAAAAATAAGTAAAAATTGTAAGATTGGCGAATGGATTTAGTATCCGCAGTCATATAAGCATAAATAAACAACAACAAACCGCACAACTTTAAAATCGCATAAAAATAATCCGCATAAAAAGAGACCTTACTGTATTTGATTTGAACTAACTAAAGAATACAAACAGAACGCATATGTGTAGATATTGCTCGTTGTGTAGATAACCTGGACCAGCAGTTAAACAAAATACCCCTGCAAAGATTAATCCATTTATGATCTAAAACGTATTCTCAAAATTAAAACTAGATACACGTGTAATGATATTTTATTGACAATCAAATAAATAACAGCTTAAAACGTCGAGTTTCTTGATAAATGTTACAATTAGTAATACTTAAAAATATGAGATATTCACAAATATCACAGGTGGTATTGGTCCCGGTGCCGAGACTTCTGATTGGGGAGACAAGGCCCGTCGCCTGTCCGACTAGCAGGGCCATCAACGATAAAAATACACCCTGGGCCCCAAAAACCTTGTGCTACAACTCCTGGGGTCTTTTCTCCCCTGGGACACTGAGCGGATCCCGGGGGAGTCTCCGAAGACTAGACTGAGCTCTCCTTGTGCGGCGGTGGGGTTTGGGTAGAACAGTTTCGAGACTGTAGGATGGGTGCCCACGTTACGTGGTAGGGCTTCACGGGCATTTGAGTAGCACAGTTTCGCTTACTCGAGGGGCGGGCCGTAATCGTATACGGGGTGAGAGATGCGTCAAGCAGAGCTTCTGAAAAGAAAAAAAAACAATTATTTACATTTTCACTAAGATAACAATGTTACAAACTATTACAAAGTGAGTAAAATGTCTATACATTACAAAAAAAGAGGTAACGAAATGATGAGTTGGTTGCACATGGGAGTCAATTTTCAAATAGGGTTGAAGAAATAAATTTAAGACTTATTCATAATAATCACAAGCCTACAGTGTTTTGGTGACAAAGTGTTTAGAGCTGATTTTATGTATATTTGGGGTGCTGATTCCTAATATGGCTTAAGTTTTGCTCTATCAGCTCTAATTTTTAAGATAACGTAGGTCATGCCAGCTTTTATGCATTAAAATTCGAATATGCTGATATGGATATACTAAATTGTAATTAAAATTACACAGTTAGAAAACACGTATATTTTAAGCCATTTCACTACAATAAAACCCTTTTGTACAATGAAACAGATATACAATTAGTTTTGAGAAAAAAACTAACAAAATAGAAAAAAAAAAGTTTACTTGACGTAACGAAAGCTTAGCTTGCGTGATTTTCTGGAATGAACTTTCAAACAGTCTCTCTTCAAACTACAGCACAAATCTGCGGGGCATGTAGGTGTCCCTACTTAAGTTTTCAGGGAAACGGTCCAAGTGGCTCATATTACATCCAAGTGATTGGAAGTTATTTTCACTTATAAGTAATTTTCACTTTTGTGATTTCCCAGAAAATTTTATAATGTCCACGAATGAAAGCCAAGCTTTTTCCTCTACCTAATTCATTGACCCCACAAAACCCGGATCCTTTGTAAGAAGTCTGATCTGTGGTCCATCAAAGATTCCAGCTTTAAGTTTTTCCATACTTATCTGGGGCAGCTTTCTTCCTATGTAGGCGAAGGATGGTCCATTAGAATCAAGTGCCTTAACGAATTGCGTCATTAGGCCTAGGTTAATATGGAGGGGCGGTAAGATTATTTTCTCTGGTTCGGCTAAAGATTGGACAATAATGTTTTTATCCCAATTATTAAGTTTTTTATTTTGGCCACTTTTTTTTAATCCAGTGGTTTTTTCACTTTCTACTATCCCAGAGGCACAAAAAACAAGGATATTTTGTGTAACCGCTTTGCTGCCCAAGAAGAAAGTTTACCATTTTCAAATCTACACAAATCACCCAGCGATGTTTCTGGTATTTCATCTTCTGTAAAGCTAAAGATATTGTAGCATATTTTTCTTTCATCACGGTTGAATAAGCAATTGATATTGAGTCAAACTGGTTTCCATTATGAAACAAAACACATTTCAAACTACGCTTGGAGCTATTAATAAACAAATGCCATTCATTTGCATCGCAGTATTGAAATCCCATTTTCTCCAAGAGCTCCTTAACGTCCAAACAAAAAGTAAGGTTTTCTGCTTGGTTAAAGAACGGTAGCAGTTCCTTTTTCATTGTTCTATAAAAAGTAAATTTTGTGCCTTGTTTCAGTAAATTTTTATCATTTATTCTTAAAACCAGAAGTTCCTACGCTTCTTTCGATAAGGCTAAATCTCTAACGAGATCACTTCGTTCTTCTTGATTAAATAGTTTTGGGTTTGCTGTTCCCCGTCGTAATGACTATCACTGTCTTTATTGAAGTCAGAAATATGTTCAAAAATGTCACCTTCAATTCCTCTGAGTGAGGTACTGGGCGTCTGGCTGAAGGCCAATCAGGATATGATCACTTTTGGCGATTATTTCTATTGATCCCTGAAACATTGACCAGGCAAAAATAATAGTCATCAACGTGGTTTGTAGGTTCTCTCCATACCACTGGCACGCCAAACTTAATACTGTTTCTTTTTCCTGTGGTCCACTGTCGTAAGTGATCTGTGCATGTTTTGCATACAATATGCGGTGCCCATATTTTGGGCAGTTCACATCGATACTCCATACCGAGCGGACGTTAAATGGTTCTCTGTTATCAACATTCGACCGGTTTTCTCGATTTGAACAGATAAATGTGAAGTGATTAAAAAGCAATCAATTAGTAATAGACTTAAAAATAATAAACTCATCAAATTAAATTTAAAAACAATACAGTAATTTATTTATAATGTTTCCAACGGGAAATGGACCAGGATTCGACAACTACATAGTTAGCCAACAAATACAAAATGTAAACAGCCAGCCATTACCAATCCAGTATCCATCAAACCAAATGAATTGTTACCCACAAATGCAGATTCCAAACAACACACAGGGTCAATCACAAATCAACAATATACAGGGTTATCCACAAATCTCATCACAAATACCAGGTATGTACAATATGCAAATAAATCAACCAACCACTAATTCTTCGACGAATATGATATTTCCGCCCAATCAAGAACAATATATAAATCAACAAAACGCGGCACACAACAGCAATATAAATAACAGAAATAGCCAGCAATACTACAGAATGTCATCAACAAGCGATGACGAACCAGAAAGTGCAAATGTGTCAACAAATAACTCATGGCAAGTAGTTAAAACTACAAAACGCAGAAAAATCAGATCAAATGTAGAAACAGACAAAGAAGATGATACCATTACACTATCGAACAAATATAATACCCTAACGGATACCCAAGAAAATGAAACCAATCAAAATGAAACAGCGCCAAGAATACCTAAACCACCACCAATATTTGTTTACGATGTAAGCGACTTCCCAGAAATGAGGAAAAAATTTACAGAAATAGCTGAAGCTGAACAATACGAAACCAGAACTATGGCAAATAATACAGTCAAAATAATTTGTAGCGATCCAGAAATATACAGAAAATTCTCCAGATATATGAGAGAGAACAACATTATTCATCACACATATCAACCAAAGGAAGAAAGGGCCTATAGAGTCGTAATTAAATACCTTCACTATTCACATGCAACAGAAGACATCAAAGAAGAACTGACAAAACTGGGTCACAAGGTAAGAAACATCATTAATGCTAAACATAGGATTACAAAAGAGCCGATAAATATGTTCTTTGTTGACCTTGAACCATCAGACAATAACCAAGATATTTATAAAATTCAGAAACTACAACACTGCAATATACAAATTGAACCACCTATAAAAAACAAAAATATCATCCAATGTATGAGATGTCAATTATATGGCCATTCAAAAACATATTGCAATAGACCATATGTCTGTGTGAAATGTGGAGGACAGCACAGTACAAGCAGTTGTAAAAAGAACAAGAACACACCAGCTACATGTGCTTTATGTGGAGGAGATCACCCAGCTAACTATAAAGGATGCGAATATTATCGTAATTTAAATAGAAATAAAAATATAGCACAAACTACATATAATCATCACCAAAATATGTCGCAAGCACGTAACAGAAACTTTATACCCAACACAGTAAGACCAAATGTAAGCTATGCTAATGCAGCGGGTAATAGACAACCTCCTGCTGCTCCTTCAGATAACCAGGATTCAAACACCATTCTTATGAAGTTTTTAGAAGAATTCAAAGCCATGTTTAATCAAATCTTGCAACAAAACAGCATGGTAATAAACATGCTAAGTAAACTCATATGCAAATAAAATTCTTTCTACGAATAGCAGAATGGAACGCCAATGGCCTGCTGAATCATAAGGACGAGGTGATAATATTTCTACAACAAAATTTTATAGATGTATTATTAATAAGTGAGACACATTTTACAGACAAATCGTATTTTAAAATACCTCAATATCTAACGTACCATACTAACCATCCAGACAAGACAGCCCATGGAGGTACAGCAATTTTGATCAAACAATCAATTAAACATTTCATGATGGAAAGTTATATAACAGACTGTATCCAAGCTACAGTAATTAAAGTGTGCTCATTACCTTACGAAATAACAATAGCAGCAGTGTATTGCCCTCCAAAGCACAATATTAAAAAAACCGATTTCGCATCCTTCTTCAATACTCTAGGTCCAAAATTTATCGCAGCTGGTGACTTCAATAGTAAACACACGTACTGGGGATCAAGATTAATAACAACAAAGGGGAGAGAGCTTTATAGCTTAATGCAAGAAAATAAATACTCATATTTATCAACAGGAACACCAACGTACTGGCCAACGGACCCCAAAAAAAGACCAGACCTCTTAGATTTTTGCATCATAAAAGGAATATCTAACACCTTTATGGACATAGTTCCAAGTTATGATCTATCTTCAGATCATTTACCAATTATTGCAACAATTAGCACCTGCGTTATTAACAAACAACCTACTCCAAAACTGCATGGACCTAGAACAGATTGGAACGTTTACCGAAAAATACTGGATGAAAACATTAAACTAAATGTAAGACTAAGAAGCCCTTCAGAAATAGAAGCAGCTACAAACAACTTTATGACATTATTACAAAACGCTGCAAAAGAAGCGACACCGAACGATGCAGATAAAAATAAAATCGAGAATAGAATAAATATTCCACTAGAAATTAAAAAGCTCATTGCTGAAAAAAGAAGAGCAAGAGCCAAATGGCAACAAAGTCGGAACCCAGCGGATAAAACGTTTTACAATCGCTTAGCCAATAAATTAAAAACACAACTAAAAATTGCAAGAGAAGAGTCAGTCAAAAAATATGTAACACAACTTAATAGATACGACCATTCAATATGGAAACCAATCAAATCATCCTTAAAACCTCAAGCAATATCGCCACCAGTAAGAAAAACCACAAACACACAGAACCAATGGGCAAGAAGCGATAAAGAAAAATCCGAATTATTTGCTGAACATTTAGCAACAGTATTCCAACCACACAACAATGAAGAAGATCAAGAAATTATTAATTATTTAAACTCAGAACAACCGTCAGTAAATCCAATAAAATTAACAACACCCAAAGAACTTAAAGAAGAAATCTTAAAACTAAATATCAAAAAGTCACCAGGAATTGACCTAATAACTCCAAAAATGCTAAAGGAATTACCAAAAAAGGGTATAGTGATCCTTACATATATATTTAACGCAATATTAAGATGTA